GCAGTACATTTTGAACAGCCAGTTGAACACTTTTTGCAAGATTTATCATCTTTATAATACCCAATTTTGCATATGTAGCAGGTGTTAGCATCAGTACAGATGTAACAGTTATCTGAACATGCTGTGCATTTTTCATCTTTAACATAGTATCCTTCTTCACATGCTTCACATTTTGTTGGATCATCTGTTTTGCAAGATGTGCATTTGTCTACAGTTGTAAGACATTCATCCGAAGATGCAGAAAATGCAATAAATACTGTAAATGATAAGAAGATTAAAGTTCTCATAGAATGATAATCAAGTTAAAAAAAAACGTTTTTATACCCAAAGTTGTTTATTTATATTTATTTTTTAAACAATTTGTCTATTTGATTGTCTGACATGTATTGATTTGCCGACCTCTCGTTTCAATTTATTATAAACATCATATCACGATGATAATTATATAAATTAACATTGTAAACAAAAACAAATGCAAGTTTTTGTTGTTATAAAATTCAAAATAAAAATTTCAAAAAAACATTTTTTATAATATTATTCTAATATTTACAAACCAATTAAATAGAATAGTATTGTAATTAAAAAAATATTAAATTGACATGCAGTAATAACAATAATTTTAACAATAATATGTTTTATATTTATCTAATTTTTGAGTCGCATTCAATTATTTCGTCATATTAAATTAATTGATGATAGATAATTATAGATAAAAAACTTTTATGTTAAAAATGATAATAATAACACTTTAAAAACATTGTCTGTTACATTCATAGTAAGTATTTATAATACAATCTTTTTGTGAACAATATCATTTTGCATAACTTTTTTATGTTGTTATAACCAATTTTGTTTGTTTTCGTTTTGACCAAGTGATTTAATTTGATTCTTTAAAAAATATATGTTTTTGTGTTATAGTTTTATTAACATAACTACAATAATTATTTATTTTTTCAAAAAAAATATGTGTTATTAGACATAACTAATAATTAAACAAATTAAGACTTAATAATAGCACATCATTTTGATAAAATTTTTATTTAATGGATATAAAATTGAATACAACAACATTAGTAATATTTAAAAATTAATTATATTATTCAGATAAAAAATGGGTGAAAAAATATTTGAGATTAATTGATGTAAAAAATTTGATTTTGGTTTTTTATTTTTAATTTATTTTTTAAAACGGTTTCTATAAATTACTATATTACTTTACTTAAAATAAATTTGTCACCAAATTAATTCTTGTTACCTATTAATTACTCTATTTTTCCATTATATTTTTAACAGATTGTTTTAATTTTAATTGTGTTACAATAACACGACAAATGAACGTTTATTGAAAAAACAATTCGAATTTTAGATAACACAAGTGACAAATTTGTTATAATAAACTATATATATATAATTGTTGATTCTCATTTCATGTTTTTTTCTTTTTATCATAATAAAACTTGAGTTCTATAATAACATAACTTCCAATCTCGACAAAAATAGAAGTCGCTTTGTTTAAAAATGGACATTACTTACTCACTTTCAATGTGCACTTGTTACTTTTATATCAACGAAGGCCTATATTATATTGTTATAACCAAAACGACTAAATTGGTTATCTCAAAACTTTCTTTGTATAAGCTCGATTCCAATTTAATGGAATGTACTTTATTCACTTTGTATTTAAAAAATATTATAAATAAAATAGAAAAAAACGTGCCCAAATGATTAATTATAAAATTGATTTTAGAATTATAAAAAATACAAATGAAAACAGATTATGCATTTATTAAAAGATATATCGTTTGAAGATGGATTAGTTGAATATAACGAAACTGGAAAAAAATCAGTATTAATGTTTATTTTCAAATGCCTGACATACAATTTTTAAATAAAAAATGATATTTAAACTGGTTAGTCAATTGAAAAATAATGTTATAAAAGATTTATTGAAAAATAAAATATATCAAAAGATATGATTATAAAAACAAAAGAAAAAGTGTTGAATATTAATAACAAAATTGTTTTTGATAAAGGT